TTTCGGCTCAGGTCATGATCTCAGGGTCGTGAGATTGAGCTCTGCTTTGGGCCCTGTGCTCAATGGGGAGTCTGCTCAAGATTCTCTCTCTCTCTCTCTTTCTTCCTCTGCCCCCCCCCCACTCTCTCAAATAAATGATCTTTAAAAAAAAATAATTAACAGGGGTTTGGTGCCCCAGGTCTTGGCTTGTCCGGGTGTACCCTAGTTTCCAGTATAGTACACTGTACTGTGACAGACCTGGTGTTTTTTTTTTAATTTTTTTAAAATTTAAAAAAAAATTTTTTTTATGATAGTCACACAGAGAGAGAGAGGCAGAGACACAGGCAGAGGGAGAAGCAGGCTCCATGCACCGGGAACCCGACGTGGGATTCGATCCCGGGTCTCCAGGATCGTGCCCTGGGCCAAAGGCAGGCGCCAAACCGCTGCGCCACCCAGGGATCCCCGTTGCGCCACCCAGGGATCCCGACAGACCTGGTGTTAGTCACAACAGTCTCATTTGTAGGATTTTATCTCTTGGAGATCCTCTGGTGAAACATAACCTGTCTTCTAGTCACTTCCAAATCTCATTGGTTAAGACAGTCGTTTCAGTATATGGTGATCAGGGACTTTTTTAAGTGGCAGTGGATTTAAAACTACCCTTACCCATACTACCATAAGGGAGTTGATGACATTTTTTATGCTTTAGCTTACACCGATTTAACTTGAAGGTAGAGTTGAACACAAGGATTCACCACTGTGATTAGAAAAGGAGCACAACTACCTCGACTGAACCATAGGAGGCACTTGTTTTCATTTACCTGAGACGCCACTTAATCACTCACCTGAGGTGCAACTTAGTAGTCATTCTGTCCAGTAGCTACTTACCTTGACTTGCTTGGGATGATGGCTGAGTACAGCTCATTCTCAGCACAAGGGACAAAGGACCTGGGAGATGAAAGTGACAGGAGAAAAGATAGCTGAGTTTACCTTAAACTCAGAGAGACTCTTTCCAGGAAGAATATAAGAATTCTAATTCTGAAAAATTGTGAAATCTGAATCCTCTCATCCTCACTTTAATAAGGTCTGGGAATTGACTCACACTGCACTGTCGATAAGGATTGTCCAACCCGTTTTTTATTTATAGATTGTGTAACAATGTGGGGCAGTGTCTTACTGAAACCAGTACTTCCTATTCTGTAATAAAAATGCATTCCCCAAACAGTAACATCAGGCTTGGTTGGTAGAAGCATGACTGCCTCATTGTTCTGGAATTCCTACTGAGAAGCTTTCAGGGCCGATGAGTGATACTTATACTGGGTTAGAGATGGGAGAAGAAATAACCTGCCAAGGCCGAGTGAAGGTTAATCCTGTATTTCCAGCATCTGTTTCTTCTAAGTATTCCTAAAATTGTCATTCATTCATCTGTGTCCCCTGCCCAGCTCAGCATCCTGCTCTGCCAGCAGGTCCCTTCCAATAAACATTTGAAAGAGCAGGGTTAGAACAAGCTGCCACTAGAACCACATCTAGTGATCCTTGAGAAGTTAAGCACATTTTGCAAATACTGAATACCAATGTTGATTGTTGGGCGGAAAAGAGCCTTTGCCATCACTGCAGTTAAGAGTGTCAGACAAAGACAGGCTCAGGTGGTGTTGTGGAAAGTAAACACTGACCTGACCAGTAGGGCAGGAGAGCTCACCAAGGATGACATGGACCTTTATGCAGAACCCATGCCCGTATAAGATCCCACACTGGTTCTTGAACAGACGAAAGGATATCAGAGATGGAAAAAAATACAGCCAGGTCCTATCCAATGGTCTGGACAACAAACTCCATGAAGACCTAAAGAGACTGAAGAAGATTTGGTCCCACATAGGGCTGCACCACTTCTGGTGACTTTGTGTCCGAGATCAGCTCACCAGGACCACAGGCTGTTGTGGCCACACCGTGGGAATGTCCAAGGACAAATAAATCTTTAGGCCTTGGCTATTAGTAAAGAGAGAGAGAGAGAGAGAGAGAAAGAGAAAGAGAAAGAGAAGGAGGAAGAAAGAGGAAGCTTTTGGTTTTGTTTTATTTTGTAAAATTTTCTTGCAGTCAATGTCCCTGAAAGGCCCTTTCATCATCATCTTCTTCCTTCTTCCTCCTCCTCCTCCTTCTTCTTCTCTCTCTTTTTTTTTTTTTTTTAAGATTTTATTTATTCATGAAAGACACAGGCAGAGGGAGAAGCAGGCTCCATGCAGGAAGCCTGACGGGGGACTTGATCTCTGGTCTCTAGGATCAGGCCCTGGGCTGAAGGCGGCGCTAAACTGCTGGGCCACTGGGGCCGCCCTACTTTCTTCTTTTTTAAAGAAAAAAAAAAAATGAAAATACTGTGCTTCTTTATTTTCATGATTTAAACAAGACCTGTTATTTCATCTCCCCTTGTCAGTGAGTTCAGCTTTACTGACAGTAACATTACAGTTTCTGAGGGGCCTTGAGGAACCCTTCCATCGTCCTCCCACACTCTGCCAGTCTGTTTGGATTCTACATAGTTCATCCTGCTGCCACAAGACCTCAGGGATGAGGGGTGCTTGTGGGAGTTCTCTCTCCTCTGTTAGGAATTGACTTGCTTAATTTTCCAAAGCATCTTTTTAAAAAAGATTTTATTTATTTATTTATTTATTTAAGCACACGCAGAAGCAGGGGGAGGTGCAGAGGGAGAGGGAGAAGCAGACTCCCCGCGGAGCAGGGAGCCCGACATAGGGCTCCATCCCAGGACCCTGAGATCATGACCTGAGATGAAGGCAGATGCTTAACCGACTGAGCCACCCAGGCGCCCCCATAGCATTGTTAAGTCAACAAAACTAAAATTGAATCAGCCCATACATGAATTTCACTTCCTGTTGAGACACTGCCAGATGAATCCCCCATCCATCAACACATATAAATGGCCTGTATGAGCCACATGCTGAGATGAATGCTGTGGAAGAACACAGAAGTTCCCTGTTTTTAAGGAATGTTGTCTGGTAGTTGGGTACTTCAGACATTTGCCCAGAGCTGGGGGTACCGTAGCTCGGCAAGGCCATGCAGCAGTAGGGCTACCTCCAGAGGGGCACCTTTATATGAGTGCATCTTGGTGGGAGAGCTCTTTCTCAGGACACAGAGGTGTTGTACAGGATAGCAGTGGCTCCAATTCCTGCATAAAATTCAGTAAATACATAAATAAATGCTGAGTGAATTTTTGAGGGTCCACACACACTCTCCTTACTTACAGAGGGCCTCTCAAGTGGATCAAGTCTCATGCTTTTGAAGAACAGGAATAATGTATGTGTCTTGGGGAGCACAGATAGGCAGAGAGATGCTCTAAAGCCCCTTAACTATTCTAAAATTATCCACATCCATAAATTCCACTTGATGCCAAAATTAAATAAAATTTTCTATTTTAAACCAAAGCAGTGTTTTCCTATTAATATTTCAAAGCCTTCCATGTGCCTTTTGTCACATAATGCAGTTCAATTACAGACTGAGCTCTTTTCATGTATGTAAGTGCTTCTGAGCACTTTGAGAATTGAAGAAGTGGGAGGTTGGGGAATATTTACGCACTTAGGGAAAAAAGAAATGCTGACTGCAGTGTAAGAACATCCATTGTCTATAGGGTCTGTTAATTGGATACTTTGTCAGATTATTTGGTCTTGATTTTGACACTACTGCAGTATTACTGGTATGGGCTAAAATTTTCCTATACTGTGAGAAGTGGTAAGCAAGAAACCACAAAGCTTCACCTAACCAATGATATTTCCTGCCTGTGAGGTCATTTGCAGGTAAAGACATCCAGTGAGTGGTAAATTAGGATTAAAATTAGCCAAACTGTCATAGCAGTGCTATCTTCATATGTTTTCCTTTATGTTCCACCACCATGGAGTTCTCACATGCTCAGAAGTACGTCTTGTGAATTCTGTGCTTTGCAGCCTGACACAGGTCTAACCCGTGTAAACACCATGGGTTCTCCTTCTGTGTTCCTTTCTCTCCTCTTTCCCATACTGGAATCAGTGTCCCCAGTCCTTAAGATTGAGGGAACTTGGCACCTGTGTCCACCACACTGGTTACCTCCATCCCTCACTGGTCCAGTGTGCAAACGCTCCTGACTTGCTTTCCCCTCTAGTCCTTCTTTCCCCAAAGTCAGCCCTCATTTTCTAAAAGCCTGTTCATCATGATTATATCCCAGCACATACCTAGACCCTGTGGTCAGTATACAAATCAATAAGATCCTCACCCCACCCTGGAGCTCTCACACTGGAGAGCTGGTAAGAGATGGAGAGACAAGTGGTTGGGGGTAGGGGTGGGTGGAAGGCAGAGGAAAGACAGCCTGTGAGGACGGGTGGGTACCCAGAAGCCTCCTAGAGGGACAGACGTGAGCTTGAATCCCAACTCAGATGCTGGTTCTGTGAACCTGGGCAAGATGAATGATATCTGAGAGCCTCAGATTCCAGACTTGTTAAGAGGAGGGTAATAATTCCTACCCAGCCTGGGTGGCTGCGAGAAGCAGATTAGAAACTTTAAACTGCTTAGAGAAGTGCTTGGTTAAAATATCAACAACTCAAAGTGGGACCTATGTAACTCCAACAGTGGGTGGTAAATGACACAAGAGAAATGCAAACAAAGGGGTGGGGGCTCCTGGCAGGAAGGCTCACACCTGGCAGAAGGCCACGCGTGAGCGTGTGTGCTGAGCACGTGTGCAGGGGCCCTCCCAGCATCCAGGTGATCTGTCGCCAAGCGCGCAACTAGCAGGGCAGAGCCGAGCAGTCCCCGCAAAGCCGGCCGTTTACCTGCTGCAGCAGGCATGACCTGGAGCTCATGCCCTTGAGGGGCCAGCCGAGAGGCTGCAGAATGGAGTTCTGGAAAGGGCACAGTTGTCCAAGTTGACTTCAGCCTGCTATGGGGATTGAACATCATTCCGTTCTCCAGAAAGCAAGGGGTTTTCCTCATTTTTCCTTCCACCTCCTTCCCCGGATGACTAAGGCCAAGCGTTCTCCTCTCCTCTCCAGCTCCGAGGCTGAGAATGGTGTGGAGGACAAAAAGAAGATCTGCAAGTCGCCAACAGCCCAGTCCCCTAGCCCATCCAATGAGGCCGAGTCCTCAGACCAGAAGAGACTCCTTTCCTTGCGGTGAGTCCTGGCCTTGACACTTTATTCTTTTGGGCCTTTGGGAAGGACAGGTTGCTGGGAGGAGCTCGTGTTTCTAGTTTTGGGGTGGCTGTCAAGAGTATGGATCTACTAAAGGCAAATAAGCCCCTGAGAAAGAAGTAGGGTGTTTGATATCCAGGCACCGATGCTTGCCTGCCTTTCTCATCTCTTCCTGGCAGCATTTCCTTCTTTCCTGCCCTAGCCCTACTGCAGAACATCTGCCCCCTTCTTCAAGGGCTGATCTTGCTCCCTGATAAAGCCAGGACAGCCCACTGTCTGGCATAGATTTATGAAGCACCTGGAGAGGCTGGCCGGGGTGCTGGTGAGGCCCGCCCAGGCTGGAGTACCTGCCCCGCCTCTGTATGTGCACACCTGCTGTCTCACTTTCCTGGCAGCCAAGAAAAAGCAGAAGGGAACCCTGCCTGGGATCCCTGGGTGGGATGCGCATGTCTCGTGGAGGAGGGGAGCTGCCTGCTTCCTGGGGACTGGTGCCGGGAGCCAGCATCAGTTTGGTCACAAGCCTGGGAGGGGACAGGTAGTTTCAAGATGATGAGCCACGGTCCCTGGCACACTCAGAGACCCCAGTTACATACTTTCTTTCATTGGAAGGAAGATGTAGGAACTTCAGGTTGCTTTTTTACCCCTGAAAAGAGAATGGTTATACCAGCAGTCAGTTACAGGGAAGTGTGGCCAGGGGTCTGTACCGATCGGTGGCAGTGACTACCCTCTTCCCTGTTACTGAAACTGTCAGAACTGTACCTTCTGGGTCTTCTGGCCCCTCCTAATGGGTAATTAAGTAACTCCTGCCTTTCCCCTTCCTTCCTGGCTACCCAGCCCATTCCTTCTCTCCAAATCCTTACTTCATTCAAGACCAAGCGTAAGTCTTCTCTTTCCCCCAGATTTTTCTTTTCTGTTGCTTCCAGGTCTCTTGTCATCGGTTCTGCATGGCTTTCTTGACACATCTCACTATTAACCCTTCTTTTTATAGCTGTCTCCTGTCCAAGCATCTTGTCTCACTCACCAAATGAGTCTCTGGGCAGAGGCGCAAAGCATGTTGTTTCTTGAATCTTTCACCATTATTGACTGGCTCCCGCGGGTGCTTTAAAAAATGGGTTTGACTCCGCCTCCCCCAGACTTCAGATGAGAATCGTACAGTCATCATGAGAGCATGCTTGTTAAACGGTGTGGGCGTGCCATCTGTGTAGTTGCAAGGAGCCCAGCGCTTGCTTTAATGCTCTGCTCTCGCTGTCTGGAAATTCCTAATTTTTGAATAAGAGGCCAGACATTTTCATTTTGCTCTGGGCTTTCCGCCCTGCTCATAATCACCTGTAAGAAAAGAGAGTAACACAGTTCAGAAGACACGAAGACAGCAATACTAGGTAAATAAGCACCCCTTCCAGCACTCTGCAGACAAGTCCATTCTGCTGGCGCCTCTTGAATTCATCAATGGTACCACTGCCCTACTTGTCGCATTGGCTTATAGTCCTTCAAAAGCTCATTGCATTGGCAGTTGCTTTAACATTTACTAATATAATCAATCAGTTGAGGTGATTAATTCAGATTAGTGGCTAGTATAAATAGTAGGTAATTTGACATTTGTAAAAATAATTTTATTTTCGATTACAAATGACTACTCGTAATTTCAAAGAAAAAAGTAATCCCTAGAATTCAAAGGGAATTTATATCTGTGAATAGGTTCAGTGGTCAGCAGCTAAATGCAAATCTTCACCTGTGGCTAGAGCATCGTTGACTCAAACTACTGGGACTGGCAGGGGCCCGGAACATAAGATAGCCCATCTTTTCACAGCTGAGACCCAGAGTCTAAAGTCTAACTTGAGTCATTTCTGTCTCTCTGTCATACCCTCATACCACCTGAACTACTCAAGATCTTTAAATCTCCTTTGACCAAATAGTAGTCTTAACTGTGCCTCTTCATAAGGAATCATTATTGTGGAATCATGGATTTCATGTGCAATTTTCCCCAATAATCAAAAAAGCTGCATAATTGTACCCAGGGGCACCTGGCTGGCTCAGTCAGTAGAGTGTGTGACTCTTGACCTCAAGGTTGTGAGTTTGAACCCCATGTTGGGTATAGAGATTACTTAAAAATAAAATCTTAAAAAAAAAAAGCTATGTAATTGTATCCTAAAACTTGTTCAGATATAGACCTCTAAAATTCATATGTGCATTCCCCTTTGAAAGGATTCTGTTTGCCTGTAGGGATGAAGACATTTGCACATTCACACATCTATTCAAACAGAGAGCCAGGACTAGAATCCCCTGAGACAAATGCTGGAGCTCTGACCTCTGCCCTTACTAAAATAAAGGAAGACTTGACTTTCAAACATGTTCCTCATTTTTATGCCAATTTCACTTCTCTTTTCTGTCTCTTCTCCTCATACCTAACTCCTGCTTATGCCCTGAAGCCCAGTGTGTTAAACCCACATTGTGCTATCGCTCTCTTCTTCTCTTCCCTCCTGTTGGGTGTAGTGTCTCTGTACCTCCTAATGCCTATCATATGTACTATTTGGTGCTAAATCTTGTACTGCCTTTTGAAAAAAGATGCCTGATGAATCCACAGGCTTCTTGAGGACAAAGACTGTCGTGTGTGCCTCACAACCTTTAATACAATGCCCTACTCTATCAACACATGTTCAGTATTAATAGAATTCTGAAACAAAAATATTCTTTGATTGGACTGAGGCTATAGTTTTGTTTCATAATTTGCCTATACTATTCCTCTTTTACTGCTTCAAATACTTTAGAGATGGAAATGACCTTCATAATTCAGTTGATATTTCTCCCTTCTACAAACAAGTTCACATTTTTGCAGTTTGAGATTGCAGCCTGGTGACACCATCCCAGTCTCCTACACACCATATTGTGTCAATGCTCCTAGAGTCTTACGAGTGATCACTGATGTCGAGTAAAGAAAAACGAGTGTCAGGTTTTCTTGTATACCTGTATACCTGTTTTCAGTATTTCTTGTAATACTCCAGACTTATTACAATACAATTAATGAGTAGCATAACAATTTCATCTTACAAGACTCCCTGGATTCTCTTTCCTCAGGTCAAAATCCAGTTTTGAAGGTGCCTCTTTAGGAAACGATAAGAATGACTGTAAAACAGAGAGCAAAAATGAATCTAAGATGGACAGGAAAAAGTATTCGTCTTCCAGCCAGGTAACTTGGGAAGGCGGTGAATGTCATGTCAGATGGTGGTGGGAGCACTAACGGCAAGGGAAGGAAAGAACCCAAGTGTGCATCTTCCTGCTGGTCGGGACTCATGCAGGCAGAGATTGTAGAGGATCTGGGAGAAAAGGATGTAGTTCTTTCTGTTGATTCTTAATCAGTATCGCACTTCACCACTGACTTTTCTATGTATCTTGGCCAGTGATGAGTTCCGTGCTGTGACCCCTAACCTTGACAAGCGCCCTAAGAGCAAGGACCCACACAGTCATGTGCTGGTCTAATAATCAGCCAAGACCAGGAGAGCTGCAATAGCCTTGCATTAACATTAAAGAGTCTGATATGGCCCCTGCAATGAATAGAAGGCTACCCAACTGCACCCAGAGGAGGGAATCTGTGAACAGGATCATGATTCTCATCCAGGAGTAGTTTAGTTCTGCCCAAAAACACACCCAGATGGGTGTCAAAGCCCAGTTCTGTGTCTTAGAGTGTGGCATACTTACTGGGGTCAATGGTTTGAGGTTGTTACGGACACTTCACCCCTAAATACTTGAATACATGTTTCCTAAGAACTAGAACAACAACAAAAAATCCCCTACTAGTATACACAGGAAATGTAACTAAACAGTAAACATAAAAATATTACTAATATAAAATCCATTTCAGATCTCTATAATTGTCTCAGTAGCCTTTGTAAATGTGTTTTGCTCCCTTTCTCTCCAATCCAATCCAGAAGCACATACTGCATTTATCTGTCACTTTTTATTTAGATCATTCCCACCACCTTTTTTTTTTTTTTTGTCTTTTATTACATTCACATTTTTGATGACTCCATGTTTCAAGTTTTTCTTTTGGATTTTTTTTTTTCTTTTTGGCCCATGTTATTTTTAAATCAAGTCATGTAACTGATGTTCACTGTAGCCATTAAAAAAATCAATCTCAGGAAAGCCCCCATGGAATACCAAGCTTTAATCCAAGTAACTTCTGGATGCAAAATGTGCTTTTAGGAGGCAGTGTGAAATGACCTACTTTATGTGAGGTGTTTATAAAATAGCTGACTTGCAGGGACCATCTATCATCTGCATGACCTTGCTAAAGCTCTTCCTTAAAGCAATACTGAGACCAGTGCTGCCATTGAGATGACTCCTAGTTTGGATAATAAAACATGAAGGGCCTGCTTGTACTCTCTCTCTCTTCTGCTCATAAGAGTTTTTTGTTTTTGTTTTTGTTTTTTTTTAATATAAAAAGCATCCTGTCAGGCAGAGGTCCTGTGAAAGGAGGACCAGTTCTACCTCTTAGCTCTGTGGCGCCAGTTAAGTGACTCAGTTTCCCTGAGGCACCCCGTCCAGACCCATGGAATGGGGACATGAGTTCCCCAGGTAATTTGGGGGATGATATTTGTGAAGGCTCATTACCAAATGTAAATTGCTGGCTGTATGTTGTTGTTTTCACAGCTGTGGAAACACATGCTTTCTCCCACCCTAGAGAGTCCTCTCCCCCTGACACTGGCTAAGGAAATACCCTTGCAACAGAAGTAGTGAGAGTAACAATAACAGGTGATGGTGGGTCTTTTAGATGGATTGTCCCATTTAGGTCTTACGGCAGCCCTCTGGGACAGGTAGTGTATTTGCCCTCTGGCACAGAAGAGCAATCTGAGGCTCAGCGAGGCTAACTCACTTGGCCAAAATCACACACCAAAAGAGAGATTTAGCCAAGACTTGAACTCAGGTTTATCTGATCTTTTAGCCACTGCCCTCCTCTAACAGTCCTTGTATCTTTAGTGGCCTGGAATTTTCTGCCCTCCCTGGTGAGATCCTTTGGAGTTTCATGTTATTTTTCATTTGGAACATCCTTGTTGAGCCACCTGGGCAGACCGATGACCACCAGCTGCAGCATGGTCAGATGTCTGTCCGTCTGTCCAACCAGCAAGTCACTAATCTTGTTGGAAAATGAAAGCTTGGTGTCCTGCCTACTTTGAATGGTTGTGTCAAAGACTATAAGATCAAAGAGAAGGAATTTCTAAAGACACTATAACAAGGGAGGGGATATTTGTTATGTAATTTATTTATTTTAAATATTTATTTATTTGAGAGAGAGAGCATGAGCAGGGGGAGAAGCAAAGGGAAAGAGAATCTACAAGCAGACTTCACGCTGAGCAGGGAGCCCGATGGGAGCCTGAGATCATGACCTGAGCTAAAATCAAGAGTCGGGTGCTTAACCAACTGAGCCACCGAGGCACCCCTTGTTATGTAATCTAAATTGAAGTTAAAATTTGTGATGTTTCACCAAGAAATGCAAATTGTGACACCTGTGTTGTGTTCTTGTTGTAGTATAAGGCAAATATGCACTTCCACAAGTTGTTTCTTGACGTCCCAACTGAAGAACCACTGAGGCAAAGTAAGTTCTAACCTGCTTGACTTACTTGAAAAGAAGGTTTTCAAGGCTAATTGGTTTGGGGGTAGAAAGTAGGCTCCCATCTGGGGACTGCATCACCAGGGGGAACAGGTTTTGAAAGTCATGATGTAGCAGGGATGCCAGCTTCATTCAGCTTTCACCAAGCACCTTGAAAGGTAAGAGAGTAGAATGGGAATCTGAATCCCTCCAAATGATAGGGAACCCTCCACGATGGTTCCAGAATGATTTCCTCACCTTCTGTATTGACTGTGTATGGGTTGTCCTGAGATTTAAGATAATGAGACTAGAAGACAGGCCATTGGAAGAAGACTGAAAAGAAGCACAGATCCTCATGCATGGATAGGTGTCGATCCCTACACTATGCAGGGTGTGACAATCACACCCAAATGCCCTGCCCAGTATACCAGCAAAGACCTACTCTGCTCCTCTTAGGTTCATTAGGACCAGCGTTCCATTCTGGCCTCTCTGTATACAAATGTTAATTAAGCAGAATGCTGGATTCCTGCCATGATGGCCAAACATGTGGATCACATTCACATGCTCTTCCCACACTGAGACTATCAATTTCGAAAGGAGTCATTAGTGACAGTCCCAAGAGTGCCATCATTAGCAAGCACAAAGTGACACACCTTCCTAAATAGAGATGTTGAAACTCCATTCTTGAACTCCCATTTGTAGTGATAGACTTGCCATTTTATACTGAAGCATATAAGACTTTGAATTAAAAAACAAACTCTCATCCCCGTAGCTTTACTCACTAAAGATGACTGATAAAGACATAAAAGATCTTTTGAGTATATTATCTCTGCCAGTCCTGAGGAACCAACATACTTATAAAATTTTTGTTTCATATGGAAATTTTTTGAAATATTTAATTTATTTATTTGAGAGAGAGAGAGAGCATGAGCAGGGGGACGGGCAGAGGGAGAAGGAGAAGCAAACTCCCCACTGAACAGAGAGCCCCACTTAGGACTCAGTCCCAGGACCCCAGGATCATGACCTGAGCTGAAAGTGGACACTTAACTGACCAAACCCTCCAGATGCCCCTTATATGGAAATTTTAAGTGCTCTTAAACCTGCATTTATTTTCCCAGGTTTTACCTGTGCTCTACAGAAAGAGATACTATACCAGGGGAAGCTCTTTGTATCAGAAAACTGGATTTGTTTTCATTCCAAGGTCTTTGGAAAAGATACTAAGGTTAGTATAATTTTTTAAAAGAAACCTATTCACTTTATTCTATATTGTGAATATCAATAGTTTTAAGCATAGCAATGTTTATAAATATTCACTGTTATTATACCTTTATATCTTTATTTCCTTTGTCATAGTTCTAATTATTACAGGTCCTAAATGCCTCTCAATGACATTAACTTCCCTTTTTCCCTAAAGACCACTCTCAGTTTATTTCCTTATATACGTAGATCTCTCCCACAACCCTATGCTAAATCCTTTCTATCTACCCAGATGTCACCAGAGAACTTTCAAAGCCGCCCATTCAGGGAGTGTGCCATAGTTTGTTTCAAAGAAATATATTAGGGATCCCTGGGTGGCTCAGCAGTTTGGTGCCTGCCTTTGGCCCAGGGCGCGATCCTGGAGTCCCGGGATCGAGTCCCACGTCGGACTCTCGGCATGGAGCCTGCTTCTCCCTCTGCCTGTGTCTCTGCCTCTCTCTGCCTCTCTCTCTCTCTATGTCTATCATGAATAAATAAATAAAACCTTAAAAAAAAAGAAATATATTAAACCCAAGACCATTTTCTTAATAAATATCGATGTTGACACTGTGTTCCTATCAGTTACCTCAGAGACACATAGAAACAAATAAGTCGGTTATTAGAACTCACTTTGTACCATCACCAGCATCAAGTGAGCAGGAATTATAAAATTTAAGGCCTGAGTCACACATCCACATTCCCCAGGGGACAACAGTTGACAACTTTTCATTCTCATGAAACAGATTCGAGGGACCACAGGCCCAAGACACCTGTGCTATTAAAGAGGACTGCCTGAAGGAATTGGCAGTTTTCCCAAGCCGCTGCCTTCTAAAGAAAGGACCTTGGGACTGTGTCATAAGAAGGAAAAAGATAATTCCATCCCACTGACATTCTTACCTTTTGACCTGCAAATGTCACACCACAGTTCACTCAGGCCACTAGAATAAGGAGTCCGAGAAACTCCTTCTTAGGTTTGCGTGACCTTCTGACTCATGATTATGAATAAGCAGCTTCTATATTCATGAAGTCACTGGCTGAAAAGCTTTTGTTTTGAGTGGTAGATAGGTTTTATTTAAATATTCTCCCTAAAGCCCCTGGAAATCTCTTAGATAATGACTGTGTAACAAAGACAATGGAAATTCTTGATGTTGTTGGTGTCGGGTCAGCAGGCTAGCACACTGTTCTGTAGGTCAGACATGTTATTTTAATGTTGTTCCATAATTTAGGTAGAGTTGTGGCTAGACAAACATATTTTGATAAACAGTATTACCTGAATCAGTACAACGAAAAGCAACATTAAGCAGTATTCCACCATATTTCTAGATTTATCAATTAAAAGGACTTGTTCAGAGTGGGGAAGGGATTGGGTAGCAGGGATCTCCAATTCAGTGTGATAAGATAATTCTCAAGAATTTAGACAGAGCCAATGCCTCTGACCAAAGCAGCAGGGTTGGAGATATTAGTGAACAAAGAATGAGCCTTTGTTAATGGATGGAGGAAATCTTAAACTCAGTAAGTGCAGTTTGAAGCCAGTATGATCCTAGCGATGGTTTTAAAGTCTAACATCTACTTAAGAGAGACCTAACCGCACAAAAAAAGGAAAAAGGAGTGGTGTAACACACTGGTTTTTCAAAGACGCAACATGTCGGAGTTGCTTTTGCATGTGCCATAGCTAATCTTAGAGACAAGAGATTAAAAATTATCGGGGTGGGAACGTAAGAACCACGGTAGTGACTTATACACTTCTTCCCTTCTGAGGATGGTGCCAAGGAGATTGGAGCTTCAGATCTGTGCCAGAATTGCTGTACTGCCAACAGAACTGCATCCAACACCATCCAGTATGAACTAAAGGCAATCAAACAATTCACTCTAGGAAGGGAAATTTTCTAAACACCGTACCCTCAAAAAATATGAAGCGCAGCCGTAATGTAATCAAGACCTTTTGGTCAACAGCATTTTCAGATGCTAGTCAAATTAAATGTGTGCATGAGATTCCATTTAGTCTCAAACTGAAAAATGGTTTATGCTATTTTCACATGTGATCTGTTTGTCATTTTATACTTAGGAAGTAGTTGATTGAAAATTCCTTAAGAGTGTTCTATGCCTTAGATTATGAAAAAAAAAATAACAAATTTATAGCACCTAGTCTCTGTGTTTGTGTTGCTGCTCTGAAACAAAATTAGATTCATTTTTATATCTTCATCCATCTTTGTAGACCTTAATTTTCTTTCCCAAAGTTATCCCAGCTTGTAACTTCTGAGTTACCTCCTACACTTCAGGATTTGTGCAGTAGAGTTCATTAGCAAAATAGGTTTTAGGAAATGTCTCATTAAGATTAGCCCCAGGGACTCAGTGAGAGTCTGCCTTTGGCCCAGGGGTTGATCCTGGGGTCCTGGGATCCAGTCCCACATTGGGCTCCCTGCAGGGAGCCTGCTTCTCCCTCTGCCTATGTCTCTGTGTCTCTCGCTGTGTCTCTCATGGATAAATAAAATCTTTTAAAAAAAAAAGATTAGCTCCTTGTTCAGGACGTGTGGGTGGCTCAGCAATTGAGCATCTGCCTTTGGCTCAGGGCCTGATCCTGGGGTCCAGGATCGAGTCCTGCATCAGGCTTCTTTCAGGGAGCCTGTTTCTCCCTCTGCCTGTGTCTCTGCCTCTTTCTGTCTCTCATGACATTTATTATTTATTTAATTACTAAATTAAAAATCTTAAAAAAAAAAAAAAAGATTAGCCCCTCGTTCTTACATAGTCTTCCATTCTGGAACTTTGAGGGGCAGTAGAACATACCCATCTCATAAACCTATATATGGGAATGCAAGTATTCAGAATTAAAAGCTCATCTTTCTTCCCCCAAGCTGGCAGTACTAACCTAAGCCCCTCCTCTTCCCCACTAACCTTGTTGCTCTCTTTTAGAATATGTGAAGCATTTTTACAAAATAGATGTTCAAGTGAGTGTGTGTACCTGTGGAGGGAGTCAGGTTGCTTTACCACGGATGTGTGTAACTATGTTTTCCAGGATCAAAGTGATACCATCCATTTCTCTTTGAAACCAAGGAGGGTTGGAGGGATATAACATAAAAGTATTGGAACATCTATTCTTTATGGTATCTGGTACATGCTTTTAGTACATTGTATGAAAAAGAATCCATATTTTGGATTAGATTGGTTCAAATTTCATCATTGTAACCTTTGACAAGTCACATACCTCTCTAAACAAATGTCCTAATCTCTTAGAATATGTACTTCATAGGGCTGTCCTAATTAAGTGACTTTCTCATTTGCTGTAATTCTCTATTGTTCGGATCAGAAAAGTTAGAGTTCTTTTATTTCATCTATCCTCTTTTTATGAGATGTATGAGGAAACGATTTTTTTTAATATGGAACACTTGATGAATTTGCACTTATCTTTGTGCAGGGGACATGCTAATCTTCTCTGTATCATTCCAGTTTTAGTATATGTGCTGCCAAAGTGAACACAATAAATCACTTTCTTAATGAGTGCTAGGCATTTTCCAAATATTATCTCACTTAATCCACAGAAAATCCTGGGAAGCAGATAAGAGTATCTACACTTTACACATCTAGAAACTGAGGCTTACAAAAGGCAGCTTGTAAGGTTGAGTGGGTCACACAGAGTGGGCCTTAAAAAGTAAAACAGCCCATTGTTTTATCGGCAAAATGGGTTTATTCAGGGATAGCAGAGAAATTGCAATTTGAGCCATGCAAGCTATGGCAGAGCATAGGCAAGTCTGGAGATCAAGGGAGAAAAATGTTAAATTACAGAGAAAGGGAGGAAGTTGGGAGAGGTTGCTTGGGACAAAAGTCCATTTAAGAGAAGGGGCATTCAAGCGTTCTCATTGGCTGAGCTTGCTGCTGAGGAGAAATCCTGCCCTCCTCCAGCTGGGTTGGGCGGTAAAGTGGGCTTCTCTTCCTTTTGCAGTCTGCAACGGAGGACCAGAGTAGTGCATGAGAGCGCCCCCTTCTGGCCTCCAGGCTCCATTTTAATTTTTTTTTAATTATTTGTTTTTATTTAAATTCAGTTTGCCTATACTACCCAGTGTCCAGTGTCCATTTTAAATGAGGTGTCCTTTATTGAGTTTCAGAATAGTAACAGAACTGAGAATTCAGGTCCCAGACTTTTGTCCAGTAGTGGTTTCACTACATCAGTGCTATTCAACGTTTTCCTTGCCCTCATGTGCCTAAGGTTATAGAAGAAGAGCAGGGTATGCAGAGATTAGCCCTAAATGGATGACCACAAGCACATAACTTCTTTAGAGCCTTGGGCCTGTCTTTAAGATGGCTCTGTATTTTGGATTCATTCCCTTGTCTCAAGATAAGAGTTTCTCACCAAGCCCTTGAGTAGGATTGATGATGTAAATTTACCCTCTGGCTTTGTAAACAGAACTTTGAGAAGATGCTCACTTTCCTTCTTGGAGGCTGGAGAGCTTACTGGGGGGGAGGGGGGGGACGGGGATGATTTTTCTCAGTTAAACCATTTAAAATTTTTTTTCCTTCAACATGAAGATTTGAAGTCCTGTTCAGCAAAGCCTGAACCAGTATTAACTGATTCTGTTTCAGATCTCTATTCCAGTCTTCTCAGTCACCCTAATAAAGAAAACCAAAACTGCCCTTCTGGTGCCAAATGCCCTGATTATAGCAACAGTCACAGACCGGGTAAGTACACCTCACAGCGAGGGCACCTTAGCTTTGTCCTGTTTGTATCTTGTTTTCCCCTCATTATAATATAATTGTTGACAGTTTTGAATTTCCTGCTGACTTAATTATACTTGCTTGACTGAGGTCAAAAAAAATAAAATTCTGGGGATCCCTGGGTGGCTCAGTGGTTTAGCGCCTGCCTTCGGCCCAGGGCATGATCCTTGAGTCCCGGGATCGAGTCCCATGTCGGGCTCCCTGCATGGAGCCTGCTTCTCTCTCTGCTCTCTCTATCTCTCTCTATCTGTGTGTGTCTCTCATGAATAAATAAAATCTTTAAAAAACAAAATTCTTTTCCGGCTGCCCTTTCCCTAACATCTCTTAGAACAGGCTAAATTGATGAATATATTCCGTTTTAATATTTCAAACAGCCACCACCACCACATTGGTGAGGCTGGGGGATATTGAAGAGTCTCTGGGGTGGGGTAGCCACCCTCCACAGAACTTTCCTTGGTCCCTCTCCAGAGCCATCCCCAAATATATAATACATACATGCTTGCCATGCACGTTCAGCTTTAGGACTAGTTTCTTGGCTTCCAGGTTGCTTTAAGTACTGTTCTTCCATATAGAAATTCTAGAGCTGCTCCAGATTGTTGGGCTGCCACAAACATGTGCAACCAGAAATATTTGTATTGAGAGTGGTGTTTATTTCAATTTGGCCAGAAAGAAGGAATGGAGTAGTTAGTTCTTAATGCATTTTTCCCTTGAAATTTTTTAATATTTTGCCTACTATTTCTATGAAAGCATAAAAGCTGCTGTCCATTTCTAACCATACTGAATAAATTGAAGTAGAAAGGAAGGTGGAGGAAAGATAAAAGAGGCTATTCTGATGAGGTAGGAAATAGGTTAATATTTAAAAAAAAAATTTTTTTAATACTAATGGCTAACAAGCATCAAGTACTTTTCACCAGGCATATGCTAAATACTTTCCTTCTATTTTCGTGTTGATTCAACACTGCCATCTAGGAGGGCTAAGTGTTAAGAAAACCAAGGGGCACCTGGGACACTTCAGTTACTTGAGCATCCAAATCTTGGTTTTGGCTCAGGTCATGATCTCAGGATCATGGGATTGAGCCCCACATCAGCAGGGAGTCTACTTGAGATTCTCTCTCTCCCTAATCCCTCCCACCTCTCTCTCTCTCTGTCAATAAAAAAATCCTTAAAAAAAAAAAAAGGAAAATCAAAAGTAAACTGAAGCCAAGAGTGGTTGAATAGTTTGCCCATTGTCACCCACTTCTAAGTATCAGAGTCAGACTTTGCAACTAGGTCTAATGGCAGCACCCACAATGTTAACTACTTTGGAATACGTACTTGCTAGGAAAGCATATCAAGTGATCAAGTGCTCTTGTTGATGAGTGAAAGGGATAATCACAAACTTCTGGAAGGGGATCTGAAAAGATCAAATAGATGGAGAAAGAGTGAGTTCTAATATTTTCTTCATATACTGTTCATGGTAAAATTATTTTTCCTTAAAAAAAAAAAAAAAAAGGGATCCCTGGGTGGCGCAGCGGTTTGGCGCCTGCCTTTGGCCCAGGGCGCGATCCTGGAGACCCGGGATCGAATCCCATGTCAGGCTCCCGGCGCATGGAGCCTGCTTCTCCCTCTGCCTGTGTCTCTGCCTCTCTCTCTCTCTCTCTCTGTGTGTGACTATCATAAAAAAATTAAAAAAAAATTTTTTTAAAAATTATGTTTCCTTGTCCTTTGTCTCCAAAGTACTTGCCGAGTCTGATTTCACTTCTTTCCCATCGCTTATGTATTTGCATTCACTAGAAAATCTCCATATTTGTACAAGGGACGGTCTGGAAGTAGCTTGAAACAGAACAAGCCTGTGAGAGCCTCTGGGAAATGTTTAGTGGAAATCTAGGTCAGAACAGAGAAAGAGGACCCTTGGGAATTGTTAAATACCGTGAAAGAAAGAGGGTGATGGTGGTAGGGAATAAGCTTTAAAGAGGTTCTAGCAAATATCACTAGCCTTTTTTTTTTTTTTTTTAGTGTCCAGGTCCTTTCCTGCCTGTGCTTGTTTGTTTGGAGCATGAGTGTTAGCATATTGAAGCCTTCATGTTGCTCTCTGTTGCTTTATTACTTAAATGGGGTCTGAGGGTTTTGTTGCTGTTGTGGGGGAAGTGGGGGAATATGTTTGGTTTATTCCAGAAATGGAATTTAAAAATGTGTGAGTGAATGAGACTGTAGACCAGAAGACAGTCTCCATCATTGGAAAAGAAAAAAATACACATATATAAGATTATATTATATATGCCTAATATATCTATATATATAATATATAATAACAACTGTTTATATTCTACATATACTATTTATATATAAAATATATATTTAAATGTATAGATATATTTATAAATTTTGTACTCTCACTTCTTTTCAGGTAGTATCTGTTAATAATGACTGTTTTGTTTTTCAGTACATATTTGTCTCCTTACTCTCCAGAGATTCTACTTACAAGCTACTAAAATCTGTGTGTGGACACTTAGAAGTGAGTACAACCTCCCTCGGCTCCTTTGCTGTCTCCTCTCTGTATTTCCTGTGGTTTTGTAGTTGTTTTGGGTTTTCATTCTGTTTCAATAATTTCAGAATATGAGCGTCGGGAACAGTCCCAACCCATCTTCTCTGGAAAACAGTTTCCGGGCCGACCGCCCTTCCTCTCTGCCTCTGGTGAGTTGCCTATGTAACTATCTAAATGCAACAGAAATGAAATGTGTCCCACAATCATACTTATCTTATACCATGACTGGGGGAGAGACAGAGAGTAAGACCTTAATATCTGATGTAAAATGAAGACCCAGGGCATTTCTGTGCTGAAGAATAGGGTGGGAAACGGGGGGAGAGAGGAGGCCATAAACTGTTTTCAAGTAATTGAAAAGAAAAAATAAATAAAGTAATTGAAAAGCTGTCCTGCAAAAGGAACGTGATAGTGGGCTGTCTGGTCAAGTGAGTGGTCGGTGGAGGTGTTTGTAAAACTTTGCTGTCTTTCCTTGTCCGTGTTATTTTAGAGGAATTCACCAGTCTCTTAAGGTAGCAGCATGATTCATCCCCACGAATTGCTGTGTTCCAGGCACTGTGCTAGTGTATGCTACAAGGACACTAAGAAAAATCAAAACTAGTTCTTGGCTTCTAAGACTTTATAGCTTAGTAGAAAACATGAGGAATATCCAGAAATAATTGTAAAAGAACTCTATAGTGACTAAGTGAAAGAGATTTTTTTTTCTTTAGACTTTGTTGACTGTATAGTAAATCTCCAGTGGAAAGTAGTTCCCCCAATTTGTACAAGATTTATACCTATGATGGTATAATGTCATCCTGAGACTCCTAGCCATATTTATTCAGTTGATTATTCCAAATTGATTACTGTTAAATGTTGGGATACCCTGGGTACAGTGGTAAGAGCCCATGCTTTTAACATCTATAGATCTGTTTTGAGAGCTGTTAAAAAATACAGGAATTGAAAACATATACATATAAAAGTTTTGCAGGAATGTTCACAGCAGGCACAGCTAGGTGGCTTAGTTGGTTTAAGTGTCTGCCTTCATCTCAGGTTATGATCTCGGGGTCCTGATCGAGCCCCATATCAGGCTCCCTGCTCAGTGGGGAGTCTGCTTCACCCTCTGTTTCTGTATACTTTCTGTCTCTTAGGTGAATGGGTAAAATCTTACAAAAAAAAAAATGTTCACACTGCACTGTTCATAATAGCCAAAAAAAAAAAAAAAAAAGTAGAAACAATCCTAATGTCCATCATTTGCAGAATGGGTAAATAAAATGTGATATATCCATAAAATAGAATATTATTTGACCATATAAAGGAAGGAATACTGACACATGCAACATGGACGAACCTTGGAAACATGATGCTAAGCAAAAGAAGCTAGACACAAAAGGCCACATATGGTACAATTCCATTTATATGAAAAGTCTGAGATAAATCAATAGAGACAGAAAATTAGTGGTTGCCAAGGGATGGGGGAGGGAGAAATTAGAAGTAACTGCTAACAGGTAAAGGGTTTGACATTGAAGGTAGTGGAAATGTTCTGAAATAAGACAGTGGTGATGGCTGCATGAAAATTGTGATTATTTTAAAAACCACTAAATTGCATGCTTTAAATGATGACTTACATTACATGACTTTTATCTCAATTAAAAAAAATAACCTTGGGGGGCAAAAAAGTAATGGAAAGTCATACAAAATAAAAGACAACACATAGGATTTAGAATCCAACAAACTCAGTTTCAAATCTGGGTTCCACCCAGCTGAGTTATGGTATCAGACAAGCTCTTTACCTGCTGTGACTCAGTTTCTTCATCCAGCAAAATGCCAACCCCATGATGTGGCCATGAAGATTAAGTGCAGTTGTCAAGGAGCTTCTGCAAACTGCCTGATACATGATAGGTCTTCAGTCAATAATTATGATATTGAGGAGACTTGAATTCTTCAACTTTCTATCCCCTATAAATTCCTGCATGAAATTGAAATGAGTTGTTGAAATGATCAAAAGATAGCTAGTTTAAGCCAAAGGGTGGGTCATTTCCTTACACAAGGAGTCTCTTCATTTGGCAGCTAACTTAACTGAAAATCTCAGCCTACTTGGAACTTCCCCAGAGACACTTTAATGACACCAGTAGTCCCATCAGTTCTTAAGCATTTGGGGGAAACAAGTAGGATATAAAGTAAAAGAGCCCTGCTTTTTCCCTACTGCTCACCCCTCTACCCTCTGTCTCTAATTCAAAAGTGATAGTACGGACTCTTAATTTGGTTGGGGTTTGGGGAAGCTAAAACTTTCAGTGTCTCATTTGTTAAACCCATTTTTCCTTTCACTTCCAACACCTTTTTTAAAACTCGGATTTAAAGAATACCTTTGCACGTAGAACATGTACTTAGAAAACTGTGCATCTGTTTGTTCTCGTATAGGTTTCTGTGTCAATCACTTTTTCTCATTACAAAGTGCTAATGAGATTTCTCCAGTTCTACCCTAGAAGGTTTGCAATCATCAGCAGTTCAACTTTTTTTCTAGTTATTTGTTGTTTCCAACAAGTTGGCCACTGTTGACAGAATTCTAACCGCCCAGAAAAATCCGTTTCGGTCACCAGATACCCTGATCTGTTGAGGAAATCCCAGTGGTATGGAGTAATCCTCCCTTCTTTTTCAGTATTTTATAGGTCAGGCCCAAGTGAAAGGGCTGGCAGTTACACAGTCCTGTCTGTTCAATGAGGGGAATTTAACTCTGTACACTTCATTGTTTCCTTTCAGGATTTCAACGATGAATTCTCAGATCTGGATGGAGTGGTTCGACAAAGGCGGCAAGAGATGGAAGGATACAGCAGTTCTGGCTCTCAGACTCCTGAATCTGAGAACTCCCGAGGTCTGAGACATTTCTTTGTCAACTAAAATAGAATGTTCCACAAAACATCTTCATCTCACCCCTGTCAAACAAAAACAAAACCACCTTGTCAATTCATTAAGAAGGGACTAATTATCAATTAATAATTGAGAAGGGACTCTGGAGAAAGGATGGCTTGAAAGTTTAGGTAAAAGGAATTGTTTACATGGTAAATATCCATTTCTCTTTACACACATTCAATATGTGTCTCTTAAATTGACACAATATTAGGGTGGTTGAAAGAGAAAAAACACAAAATGTTTTTTCTTTTTACCTCTTCCTTTAATCATATTATTCACTGTTATAGCTGAATGGCCCCCATGAGTCAGTGGGCTAAGAACAGACTGTCTTTATATCATTATGTTACTTGCCTAAGCATTGAATTTCAATACCTATCCAGGGAACCAGCTTGTGAGAAGATGTATTTATAGTCTCAGCCTTTATGCATGTTGTGAGATTGATTTGCTTTGTGGTTGATCCTGTGTTTCTAAATGCATTGGGAAGAAACTTAGCCAGCCCCATTTTTGGCTTGATAGATTTCCATGTGACGGAATCCCAGACAGTTCTGAATGTCTCCAAGGGAGAAACAAAACCAGCTCGGGCAGATGCCCATGTGAATAGAGTGCCTGAAGGAAAAGCCAAGAGTCTCCCTGTACATGGTAAGGAACAGAAGGTCTTAGATAGGGGACAGTGGCAGGCATCTGCTTGTAACTTTTAAAGGGCCTATTTCAGGGGAACCTGGGCAGCTCACTTGGTTGAGCATCCTACTCTTGGTTTTGGCTTATGTCACGATTTCAGGGTCCTGGGATCATTCCCCATGTCAAGGTCCATGCTCGGTGTAGAGTCTGCTTGGGAGTTTCTCTCTCCCTCTTTCTCTGCTCATGAGTGCTCTCTCTCAATCTCTAAAGAAATTAATTAAATCTCAAAAAAAAATAAATAAAAGCTCCTCATATTTCACTTTATGACTGCCTTTCATATCCCTCCCCTCCTTTCCTACTGTAGGTCTTTTTTCTTTGCATATTAATTCATGTATTCATTCAACAAACAGTATCCAATTCTCTGCTTTATTATCAGGGATATAAAGGTGAATAGCCTTCCTGGAAGTCCATTATTTTGAAAACTTTGCGATTGTTATTCCAAAATTGATGATAAAACTCAAATTACTGAATTGTTTATTTACTAATTATTCTAATAACTGTTTACCAATTATACTGGTATGAGAGTTTTGTACACGATTCACTCCAGTGCAATGCTTGACACAGAGGATGCTCTCCGTAAATATGTAACATGCTGGAAGGAATTACAAGTACTGGTTAACGTGGAAGGCTTCAGTGAATGTTTTCTCTTGCAAGTACCTCTTCCCCATAGGGACTTTACTGGATAAGGGAGGTGTGTGGTAGTTTTAAACCTGTTCCTCTTTTCCTCCCCCAACAGGTCAGTCAGAAACCATTGGAGTCTTACACAAAGTCAAGTCTCAGACACGTACAACTCTGCACCATATTCTTATATTTTACGCAATTGTGTAAGTAGATGTATTTACTATGAGTGACTTAAGAAAATGATTCAGTTCTCTAAAAGAATAATCTCACGCTTCCAAGAATCGTTGTAAATCTCAGTTATCTCTAATGTGACCCAAATCTTTCCTTTAACAGTTTTTGTCTCCTAGTCCAACATTTTTTCCCTTATACTTAGGTCACATCCCCTTATTTAAATAAATAGAAGGGAGGAAGACCACAGTGTACCAATTCCAGCAAAGGACTAACTTCTGAGTGGATACTATTAATAAGAAAACTGTTCTGTGAATGCTGAAGCATCTTTGGCCTTTTACTATTTATTTTCTCATCTATCCCATGTCCTCTGGACAGAGGCCAAAACAACTTTAAAATATCTTCATCCCCTCTACTGAAAACTCAGGCAAAGACTTTAAAAAAATTCCCCCTCAGATTCCATTCCTGAACCAGTTGTTTTTCTGAAAATAGGCTGACCCAGTTCTAGGCTGTTCCTTACAACCCAGGAGGATGTGCCCAGTTTGGTTTCCAGATAAAGAAGGGAATTTGTGAGTCACCAGAGAACAAGACTGGGCTCTCACTGGCTAGGCCCTCCTAGTACAGGACATAGCACCACTGGGAAAAGGAGCAGAGCTGGCAATCCACTGTGGGCATGACCTTGAGAGACCCTAGAAGGATGGCAATTGTTTGTAAGTTGAGGAACCTGGGCCAGAAGGTTTTAAATTTAAATTTTAAATCCTGTTCTAGCTCTCAAGTTTTGTGACAAGCATCAGCCCATTGAGAAAGGACCTTTCTCAAGTCTCTTTAGCAAGTTAATTTTGGGGAATATGTTGCCTTCAGTGTACAACACTGGCTCTGAGTTGGTTGTTTTATGAATGTGAGTTCATCAACCTATTGAAAATCTCCCTTTCATCCCTTTCCAGGGTCTGTGCACTAATCATCTCCACCTTCTACATGAGATACAGAATTAATACTCTGGAAGAGAGGCTGGGGTCACTAACCTCCATTGTGGACACTCATCACGAGTAAGACGATTCCCTGCAGTGCCATCTGCTTGCTACTGAGACTAGTATAATGTTTGGTGCTTACCATCCTTCTTAGCAAACATAAATTGAGGTTACATTCTGTATGAGACGTTTGGTTAAGGGTCTTTGTGGGAAGTAGTGGGGCAGGTGGGAGAGTCCTAGAAATGAATGCCCTGACTGAACAGTTCTTGAGTTGCTAAAGTGTTGCCAGTTTATCAAGAAACAAGCATACATTATCTTTTCTATTATCCTAAGACTCAGTTGTGACCTTGGCCCATTTATTAAAATATACCAGTTTATCTTAGTAAAATGGCAGTGGGAAAAAAATGGCAGTGGGTGAAGACATGAATAGCAAAGAAGCAATTCAAGTAACTCAGCTTATTTAGCATGTATTAACTCTTTATATTCATATATTTATGAAACTTTTTTTTTAATTTATGAAACTCTTGACCACTTTGAAGATCTCTGTAACTAGTAATAGCTGAATGCATCTGTGAAGGTTTTTCCATCACAGTCATGTTTAACATTCCTGATGTAATTAAACCTATTCACACACAAAACTCTTTTCTTTAAATCCATATACATGAGGATTTTGATGCATTACCTAAAAAGTAAAATAAATTAATCCATGTTAGAAAGCATACTTTTAACCCAGGTTCTTTTTCTTTAAACTTTTGGGTTGTGGATTTTTTTTTCATTTATTTATTTAAATAATCTCTTCACCCATTGTGGGCCTCAAACTCATGACCCAGAGATCAAGAGTTGAATGGTCTTCTGACTGAGCCAGCCATGTGCCTAACCAAGTTTTAAAAGTAGAGATACTCATTTACAGAGTTTGTACCACATGCTAGAGACTCTATTAGAATAGATATATACATGCACAAATGCAATTTTCTCTCATTTTATGTTCACCATAACCCTTTAAGATAACTTTTATTCCCATTTTATAGATGAGGAAACTGAGACCTAGAGAAATAATTTAATGTCTTACAGTTTGTAATAAAATCAGGACACAGATGCAAGTCTGTATGACTACAAGGATAGGCTTTCTAGTCTATCAATGGCTTGGTTGTGATGTACAGCTTAGCAACTGCATCAGGCTAGAGTGTGCTTCAGAATCATCTGGATGGCTTATGAAAACAGACTGCAGGGCTCATCCCCAGAGTTTCTGATGCACTCGATCTGAGGGCCTGAGAATTTGCATTTCTGTCAAGTTACCAGATGATGTTGATGGTGCCAGCCTGGGTCTAAACTTGGAGAACGATTATACTATGCCATTCTGTGGCTTCTTTATGCTCAAATAACTACCTTAAAGTCTTGTTCTGTGGCTTACATGTCTATAGGCATTTAGGGTTTTTTTGAACCATATATATACCTTTGAGCCATTAATACAAAAGCATAAAGAATGGCCTGGAATAGATTTATACTCTGCCCTTATTTCCTCTCTCCCATCTTGTTCAAAATGTTAACATACTTAGTCTACACTAATCTAACATTCCCTCCTAGTTCACTATCATATACAAGGTTGATTTTTTTTAAATATACCTCATAATTTTTTAGGAAATGAAACTCCTATTATCATTTTGTTAACTTGGAGATAAAGTGGAAACTCTGCTAACAAGCACAAAAGGAATATTCATTCTACTATTTAAATAATCAACCCAGGAACAAGTACCAGAAATCAAGATTATTTATGACTGATGGGAAGAAGATGTTCACAAGGAATTTTCATAGGACCTAAGCTTCTTTTCCTATCTTTCTTCCTCCAAAGTGATCCAGCCATAACTGCCCAGTAGTAGACCCACACTTGTAACTGGATTGGTTAGTTGTCACAGTTCATTCCTTTTACCTGCTTTGTTGGTACATCTGTCGCAGCCTATACACTGTCAGAATTTCATGTTGATCCTTCAGTTCTGTGGGTCACAGTTCCCTCCTCTAAATACTCAAAGATTCCAATTCAGTTTCCTGTTTGGAATCTAAGATTTTGATAGTATGGCTCAGGGATAAAGAAAGAACCATTTGTTTTTAGTAGTAGTAAACAGAAAAACATCTGATTGCTTTTTTAATGTTTAGTCGATCATCAGTCATTTACCAAGTACCTTTGTAAAATAATCAGACCCATTATTGCCATATAAAAACCAAATGGCTGGGGTGCCTGGGTAGCTCAGTCGGTTAAGCATCCCACTCTTGTTTTTGGCTCAGGTCATGATCTCAGGGTGGTGAGTTCGAGCCCCAGGTTGGACTCCTCCCTCAGCAGGGAGTCTGCATGAGATTCCCTCTGCCCTTCCCCCTGCTCGTATGCTCTCTCTCTCTCTCAAATAAATAACATCTTTAAAAAAAATAAAATGTCATTTATTTATTTATTCATGAGAGACACAGGCAAAGGGAGAAGCAGGCTTCCTGCAAGGAGCCTGATGTGGAACTTGATCCCGGGATCACATTCTGAGCAGAAGGCAGATGCTCAACTGCTGAGCCACCCAGGTGTCCCAATAAATGACATTTTAAAATAAATAAAAACCTAGTGCTGGGATGCCTGGGTGGCTCAGCAGTTGAGCATCTGCTTTAAGCTCAGGTCATAATCCCAAAATTCCAGGACCGAGTCACACATGCAAGGAGCCTGCTTCTCCCTCTGCCTGTGTCTCTGCCTTTTCTTTGTGTCTCTCATGAATAAATAAATAAAATCCTTAAAAGGAAAAAAAAAAACCTAATAGCTAAAAATAAATTACAACCAAGAAATACGGAAAGGGGATACAGACCACAGTTCTTAACCTTAACATGAAAATCTGATAAACAGCTTTAGACCACTCCTCCAGGAAAATGTACTGACAGCTCTGAGTTTCCTAGTTTTAGCTGGCGTAGGACCCCAGTGGGCCCTGGGGGAAGAGCCCATGCCAGAAATAGTTCAAATGGTAAACACTGAATACATCTATTAGATTATAAGAACAGTTACATGGGCATAGCAAGTCTCAAAAAAAAGAACTACAAAAGTCTCACACTTCAGGAACAATTTCATTAAAGACCTTCCTACACATTCTTGGAACGCCTGGGGGGCTCAGTGGTTGAGGGTCTGCCTTCATCCCAGGACGTAATCCTGGGGTCCTGGGATCGAGTCCTACGTCGGGCTCCGTGCGGGGAGCCTGCTTCTCCCTCTGTTTGTGTCTCTGCCTCTCTCTCTGTGTCTCTCATGAATAAATAAATAAAATCTTTTAAAAAATGTAAAAGACCTTCCTACACATTCTGAAAAGTTCCTATGTGTAAATGGCCCCTCCTCCCATAAAAAAGTCTGTGGCTGAGAAGAGCACCAATTGTTGTAGATTTCTGCTGTGGTGAAGATAGGGCGGGTGTCAGAGGTTACCAAGAGGTCTAAGAAGCCATGTGCTGGAGCAGAATTGCCTGATTTTTGTGGGGAAGCCAAGGCACAACACCAACATTTCAACAAAAATAGCTTCAGAGGCTTCCCGCTGAGCTTTCACTATACATGCATTCTGGAGGGGTGGGGGGGGATTCCTGCAGAGCCTTTCTGGTACTAGCAAGTTAAGTGCGTGTGCGCTCTCTCTCTCTCTCTCTCTCTCTCTCTCTCTCTCTACTACCCTAAGGGAGTGTTCTGTTCAAATAAATGTAAAGCATGTTCATTCCACTTCTTTTGTCACCCCTGCCCACAATAAATTTTCTCTTTGTTCCTACAGACAGACAGCACCATCCGGCCTGGGGTCACAAGTACAATTAAATGTGGAAGTCCTCTGCCAGGAGCTCACGGCTAACATAATCAAATTAGAAAAGGTGACTCATTTATTTCCTGTGTTGAGGCAGGAGCCAGAGTGTGGATTGCCATAGAGCAGGGGTTACATAGACAAACACTTTCGGGGTGTAAGGGAGCAGCCTCAGTGACCAAACCCAGCCAGGGGATTTCATGGTACACATGAAAGAGGTTTGTTTGGTTTTTTCCCCCCCACACCAAGAAATGGGCTTCAATCTCATTCTCCTTGTGGATGGGTCTTTAGCTTTTCCTCCTTAATTAGAAATATTTCTCTCTCCCACAAGGGCCCCATGGCAAGTGACTCAGTGGAGGGACACGGCAGGGAGTGTCCTGACCACAGAGTGAGCCTGGCTCCATCCAGGCTGATTGTTGCCATACATGAAATACTGTATTCAGTCTCAGTTATAAGCCCTGGCAGATCGACGTCCCTCTTCTGTCGACATCCCTCTACTGTCCAACAGAGAAAGAGTCAGAGTTTCTTTTTCTTTTTCTTTTTCTTTTTTTTTTTTTTTTTTTGAGTCAGAGTTTCAAAGTAACTCACTCTTGAGGAGACACGCAAAGTTGGCAGATCTGGCTCTGACTCCAAAGTTAGGTTTGCTGCTCCTCACCATCTGTCTCCTGAGGCCCTGCCAGTGAAGCCAGTGATGGACCTTTGCCCTCTAAGAGTATCTTCCAGTAGGGCAATTTTAGAGCAGATCTGTCCTTAAGCCTGCGTCATTCTTTGAAGTCAGTAGGAGGGTGAACAAGAAGGTGGGCTCAGTAGAAACAGCCCAGAGTTAAACCAAATTAACATTTCTTAACTTCTCCTTTCAGTAGTCTGTCTCCTGCATCTGGCAGTTTGGTTCGGCCCTAAACCCTAAGGAAAGGTTTAAAGTGAAGGGTTCAGTTCAAACCGCTACCACAAATGCCCAGTATTTGGTGGCTTTCCCTAAGTGCAGTTATGCTTACTTGGTAAGACACGTGAACTACAAATGAGTCCAATTATGTTGGTTTTGCTAGACTAACTGGTATTTAGAATTCAACTACTTGAGTCTTGAGAGCAAAGGAATCTCCAGAGTTCAGTTCTAAACCCAAGCATGACATCTAATTCCTATTGAATCTGTGGACGAACTTGGAAACTTTTTTTTCTCTTTTTAATCCAAAATCATCCCAGAGAAGGTCTGATGTAGCCACCAGAAGTGTTTTCTTTTCTAAAATGTTAGTTGCTGAGAATTGAGGATAATTTTTTTTTCTTTTAATGAAATGCTTACACATGTTTGGCTTCCATGCTAGCCTAGAGAAGGGGGTGGTGTTCATTTTCTGGGTTGTTCACGCTGGCAAGCGGTATTCTTTGGACCAGAAGCACACAGAATCCTACCACTCCCTTGTGCATTTCTTCCCACTCTTGTGCCAGGCCTAGCTAGGGTACCACGTGCTGTAAGGAGGGCCAGAAAACAGGAGAACCTGTCCACAGCAGGCCGACAGCTGGCCACGTCTGGTACATCCTGGCTGAATGTCCGATGGAGGCCAGCTCCTCGACGAGGAGGCCCTGCTGTACCAACAGAAACCTCAGCCCCTGAGCAGAAGCAGTCAAAAGTCGAGTTGGGCCCAAATGCCTGTGTTGAAGTTCTGGAAAGCTAGATGTTGCACACTGCTCCAAGGACTCTATACATCTTTGATAACATCCTTAATGACTTACTTCTTTGTGGTCTGCTCATTTTCTGTGATTACACTGTAGCCACCAAAGAAAAATACTCCCGAACATCTGGGGGCCAGGTGGCCTAGTCTATTCCCTTACCTCTGGTTTCCTTACATCTCAGTATTTTGGGAATATCTGTGAACCTGATCACATAGTCCCGTATCTCTCTCTCCCTACCTGGCCCCACCTGTCCCTTACTCATTGGCATACACATATTAGATCCTTTCCTCTTTGCCAACCCTCTGTGCCTGAGGGAAATCATAGGCTTTTTCTACAAAGTCTGGAGCCCCTGGGTGGCTCAGTCTATTGAGCATCAAACTCTTGGTTTCAAGCTCAGGTAGTGATCTCAGAGTTGTGAGTTCAAACCCTGCATTGGGCTCCACACTCAGCAGGGAGTCTACTTGAGATTCTCTCTCCCTCTCCCTCTGCCCCTCCCCCAACTCATGCTCACACCGTCAAAAAATATATATATATATATAAAATCTTTCCTTTGTTCCATGGAGTTCCTCACTCATCACAGTATTGCTCGTTGAAAATTCCTTGCTCAGAATTCTTTACATTCATTTACTCAACAAACATCTACTGAGCACATTTTTATTGTCCAACACGGTATCATAGTTTTCAGATCCAAAGATACGTCATGGACCCTGTGCCTGTGAAGTTCAGTCTTCTGGGAAATGTGTAATATCTAGTAGGAGTGTTAAACATTGATGATTTGAATCAGACACCACATGACACACAAGCTCTGTAAGGATCAGTTTCCCATTATCTCTGCATTTAGGTCACACTTGGCGTTGCCAGGGCTTTTGTTCTTTTTCTTCCATCTGATTTCTCTTGGTCTCCTGACATTATCATCTTGGTGCTACTCTTTCTTTTTTAGCTCTTTTTTTTTTTCTTTTCATTTTAAAGTGGATTATCAGCAGAGTTTGATTCCACTAAGAAGCATTTGCCTGATCTAAAACCTGGGGGGTAGCTTTTATTCAAAGAAGAGATGAATCTCGGGCAACCTGGGTGGCTCAGTGGTAGAGCCTTTGCCTTGGGCTCAGGTCAGGATCCCAGGCTCCTGGGATTGAGTCCCACATTGGACTCCCTGCAGGGAGCCTGCTTCTCCCTCTGCCTATGTCTCTGCCTCTCTGTGTGTGTCTCTCATGAATAAATAAAATCTTAAAAAAAAAAATGTCAAACATTATCTAGGTCATGGCAAACAGGTCCTTGATATACTCCATTCTATTTAATAACAGGAACTTCTCTCTCATTCTTTCAAGATACAAAACAACCTACAGAAGCTGCTTGAGAATGGTGACTGACAGACTGGATGGTTGAGACCAACATGATACCTCGTGCTTCCCTTTGAAGAGAAGATGCTCCCCTGGACATTGTTGTGGCGCGCTCCCTGCTGGCCAGAGGAGCGATGGGCATCCCCAGCCACGTCCGCACTTGGAGGTCTCCAGCTCAGGAAAGGGGGGAAGGGGGAGGAATTCTGGTTCCTGTGCAATAAACATTGACCCTGACTCTGAGGAGGTTTTCAGTGCTGCTGCCTGAAGAAAACAGACCCATCTCTGTAAGTCTCAGGAAGGGTCTGGTGGACACTCTCTCGGATGATTGTGGTTTCCACAGTCATCATGACTGTGTCAGCAAACACACTCCACTCCATGCATTTTTAGTCCTTTCCATGCTACTTTTCTCTCCTTTACACCCCCCCTGAACCAACCTTCGAACTAAGGGATAGATCTCATGCCAAAAACTGGATACTGTCCTTTCGAGAATTAGCCATGACTCTCCAAAACAGACTTGCCTCTGACAACACCAGCAGCATTTTTTTTTTCTTTCCTGCCCCTTCTGCTGTTCTCTTGTGCTTTAAATCACCCTGTGTATCTTCTCAAGTGAGTACGGGCAAGAATATCACAGAGCAGATTAAAAATACCCTGTTTATGTTTTGTTGTGTTCCTATAACTAATACTAAATTGGACTGATCATCACACCCACCCCAGATCCAGAATCTGTGACACATGCAACTTAAGTATTAAATTAAACTTACTCTGAGACCAAAACTAATCTTTCTTTAAACCAAAAAGTACAATATGATTTGATACTGGATGAAAAACTGACTTTTTAAGTTTACAGGACTCTTAGTTTTGAAAAACAGGATGCCCATATGGAATGCTGAAACGCCTCTTAGCATGACAAATGCCTGCTTCTCTCTCTTGTTGACTAAAGAAGTAACTGGTGGTCTGCTAACTTGTATTTAACGTATCGGTTGGCTGGTTTTTATTAATTATTTAGATACCTTAAATCTGTAATATAAATGATACTGTTTCTATTGGCAATGCATTTTATAATCATTTCTATGAAATGTACTTTGTTTAATCAGATAAGCTAATAAATGAATTGGTTACATCATTTATATTTGTTAGCCTGCTGGACATGAACTGTGCCTGGTGCACCCCCTGGCTTTTAATAAATACTCATTGGTTAAATCCTTTTTTTTTTTATTTTTATTTATTTATGATAGTCACACACACAGAGAGAGAGAGGCAGAGACACAGGCAGAGGGAGAAGCAGGCTCCATGCACCAGGGGCCCGACGTGGGATTTGATCCCGGGTCTCCAGGATCTCGCCCTGGGCCAAAGGCAGGCGCCAAACCGCTGCGCCACCCAGGGATCCCCAATACTCATTGGTTAAAATGCCCTGCTAATAACACTGTGTTTTGTCCATTTGTAAGCCCTTTTAACTAAGACAACATGCCTTTTTAACTGTTTCTCATCTCCTCCCTACTACTTCTAACTCACTCACCTATGCTTCTTTCCTCCCAAGTATTCATTTCAAAACTCAAAAATTACTTAAATTCTGGGGTTGTATTGATACAGGGAAAAGAAAATTAATTCTGGGGGCACCTGGGTGGCTCAATGGTTAAGCATCTGCCTGTAATCCCAGGGTCTTGGAATTGAGTCCTGCATCGGGCTCCCCCTCACCCTCCGGGAGTCTGCTTCTCCCTCTGCCTGTGTCTCTGCTTCTCTCTCTCTCTCTGTCTCTCATGAATAAATAAAAATAAAATATTTTTTAAAAAATGAAGTCTGAAATCAAAGGCTTTATTCCTGGGCCCACATTTTATGAGCTGTATGACCTGAGGATTTTTGGCTATTTTTCTCCCATTTTATTTATGTGACAAGAAGTACCCATAAAAATGTTGTTGGGAGGATCAAATGTGTCTCTAGAGCACATACTGTGTCATGCAAGTAGTACGTTCTCATAACAAGGACCATATTCATTACTTTTAGAAATGTCTTCATGTCTGGCATACCAGTATCATAAAAGTTCCACGCGGGTATAGTCAAAACCCATTAGGGAATCCAGAATGGGTAAGCCACCTATACAGTGAAATTCTCCAGTATATGAAAAGCTTTAAAAGGTTCAAATTTCTCAGTGAAGGAAACAAAACTAAAAGACAACATTCAGAATAGAAGCTTTTGCAAGTTACACATCCAATAAAGTACCTAAAATATAAAAAGTACTTATGTACCCAAAAAACAAATAATTAAATGGTCAGAAGACATGTACAGACCTTTCTCCAAAGAACACATCCAGATGGCCAACAGACACATGAAAAGATGCTCAGCATCACTCATCATCAGGGAAATGCAAATCAAAACTACAATGAGTTATCGCCCCATACCTGTCAGAATGGCTAAAATCAAAAGCACCGGAAACAAGTGTTGGTGAGGATGTGGAGAAAAAAACCCTTCCTGCACTGTTGGTGGAAAAGTAAACCGGGGGGCTCCTGGATGGCTCAGGTTGAGCATCTGTCTTCACCTTAGGTCGTGATCCCCAGGTCCTGGGATTGAGTCCCATATCCAGGTCCCTACAAGGAGGCTGCTTCTCCCTCTGCCTAGGTCTCTGCCTCTCTCTTTGTCTCTCATGAATAAATAAATAAATAAAATCTTTTTTAAAAAATGGTGCAGCTACTATGGAAAACAGTATGGAGATTCCTCAAAAAGTTAAAAACACAACTAATGATTCAGGAATCACGTTACCGGGTATTTACCCCCAAAATACAAAAACACTAATTCAAAGGGATACATGCATCCCTATTGTAACAGCATTACTTACAATAGCCAAATTATGGCAGCAACCCAAGTGTTCATTGACAGATGAATGATGAAGTGATAGATATCACACAATGATGTAGCAATGGAATATTATTCAGCCATAAAGAATGAAATCTTGCCATTTGCGATGACATGGATGGAGCTAGAGAGTAATTCATGATGTGAAATAAGTGAGAGAAAGACAAATACCGTGTGATATCACTCATATGTGGAATTTAAGAAATAAAGGAGCAAAGAGGAAAAAAAAAGCAAATCAAGCAAAAGACTCAACGATTGAGAACAAACTGATGGGGTACCAGAGGGTAGGGAGGATAGGTGACATAGGTGATGAAGGTTAAAGAGTACACTTTAAAATAAATAAAAAGTTTGATATTTCATGAATTAGTAGTAATCTGCTAAGACTTTATCCTGAAGCAGTAAGCAGAGATCAAGTCTAATATATATATATATATACACACAAAGCTGGTATGGTTATGTTTATATCAGACAAATAGACTTCAAAACAAAGATATATGATATATATATACAAGAATATCCTTTGAAGAATTATGACAAATAGTAGAGATTCTAAGTATTCAGTAATAGAACAATTAACTGATATAACTAGAACCTGTGTTGTCAAAGGATGGTATAAAAACACCATTAAAAAAAGGAGGCACAGGGATCCCTGGGTAGCTCAGTGGTTTAGCACCTGCCTTCGGCCCATCAGCCCAGGACATGATCCTGGAATCCCGGGATCGAGTGCCACATCAGGCTCCTCCCAGGGAGCCTGCTTCTCCCTCTGCCTGTGTCTCTGCCTCTCCTGAATGAATAAATAAAATCTTTTAAAAATAAATAAAATTTTTAAAGGGAGGCACAAAACTATATATAATATCCCAATTTTATGAAAAAATTCCTCCATATGTGTGCATATACACATATACATATGGAAACAAACACTCATTGACCTTTTCTATATTCTCTAAATTTGGTACAATGAGCAGTTAGTTACTACCTATTTTTAATTAGAGAAGTTAATTAAAAATGTTAAGTGGCTCTCAGCAGGGAATCACATCCTACAATTGTGTCCACTCTTGCCCAGTAACACTCCCACTAGTTCTGTGCCAGTAGTGACTTTTTAAATAGCTTTTCCAACATCCACTACAGTTTTTCCCAAAGAGAGAGAAAGCACATTATCATTTCTAAATGTAGTGACTATTTTTGCTCTGGGTAAGATGTCACTTGTTTTATTTTTTGTTAGTAGCTCCTAAGTCTAAATCTGGTACAGACGGATCTGAATGATGCTGCCCAGGTCATATGCCTGCATATTAACCCCAAAGAAGCATGAGGAAGCAAGCATCTGGGATTTTTCACCCTCTACCACCTAGATAAAAAAGTAGAGAATTCTAAAGTAAGAAGGGGTTTCAGATGTTGAGTGGTTAAAATAACAGCAAATGTCCACCATACATACCCTTTAAAAATTTAGTATTGAGGAATCTGGGTGGCTCAGTGGTTGAGCATCTGCTTTTGGCTCAGGGCATGATCCTGGGATCCTGGGATCGAGTTCCGCATCAGGCTCCCCAAAGGGAACCTGCTTCTCCCTCTGCCTGTGTCTCTGCCTCTCTGTCTTTCATGAATAAATGAATAAAATCTTAAAATAATAAAACCTTAGCATTATCTTTCTAGAATCAGACAGAAAAAACTTAAAAAGAGATTAACTGGTTATAAGTCTATTTCTGTGCATCTTAATATTTCATCTAGAATGAAATATATACTATTTGGATGAATGGAAATCATCAGTCTCACATAAACTAGAAATGCTATTATTATTGACCTCTCAAGCTTTGTGAATATTTAAGATACCTTCCTACATAGACTCTGCAATACTCCAAGGTATTTCCCAGGTATTCATTTATGGAATTCTTTGAAACCATCCCAGACAAACTCCTCTTTAAGATTTTAAAGTAATCTCTACACTCAAGGTAGGGCTCAGACTTATGACCCTGAGATCAAGAGTCTCATGCTCCTCTAAGTCAGCCAGACGCATTTTATTTTTTGTCTTCCACGACTCATCCTAATTCATAAATTCTTGGGGTCAAATTGAAAAATTTCCAGCTTAGGGGATCCCTGGGTGGCACAGCAGTTTAGCGCCTGCCTTTGGGCCAGGGCACGATCCTGGAGACCCGGGATCGAGTCCCACGTCGGGCTTCCAGTGCATGGAGCCTGCTTCTCCCTCTGCCTGTGTCTCTGCCTCTCTCTCTCTCTGTCTCTGTGTGTGACTATCATAAATAAATAAATAAATAAATTTAAAAAAAAAGAAAAAGAAAAATTTCCAGCTTAAATGTGAATTTTCTCTTATGTGCTTTTGTTTTATGTACCGTCATAGTGAAATTCAGGTGATGCTCTCTTTGTTTATCTGTTTCTTTCTGGTGATCTAAAGTCATGGACACTAACATGTTGTAGAAACTCCAGGTGGTTTTACTCTCAAACATTTTTTTACGATTTTATTTTTAAGTGAAAATACACCCAATGTGGGGCCTGATCTCACAACTCTAAGATCAACAGTCACATGCTCCACTGACTGAGCCAGACATGCACCCCTCAAGCATATTTTTAAGGCTTTTATTTATTTATTCATGAGAGACACAAAAAGAGAGAGAGGCAAAGACACAGGCAGAGGGAGAAGCAGGCTCCACACAGGGAGCCCAAAGTGGAACTCGACCCCGGGACCCCAGGATCATGCCCTGGGCTGAAGGCAGGTGCTAAACCGTGAGCCATCCAGGGAGCCCCTCAAGCATTTTTTTAAGTTAAAATTCCACACACTGGTAATAGTTATGCTGTCATTTGGGATCCATACCTAATCTTCTCACAAAGGAGCCCAGTGGTATATTCCTTTTATGTGCTTGTTTTATTTATTTTTTATTTTTTAAAAAGATTTTATTTATTTATTCATAGACACAGAGAGAGAGGCAGAGACACAGGCAGAGGGAGAGGGAGAGGGAGAAGCAGGATTCATGCAAGGAGCCCGATGTGGGATTCAATCCCGGGTCTCCAGGATCACACCCCAGGCTGCAGGCAGCACCAAACCGCTGTGCCACCAGGGCTGCCCTATGTGCTTGTTTTAAACCTACCCCTACTAATAATGATAATATTACCAGTTCTTGACTAAACCAAAAATTTAGAGACATTAAATGAAGCATCATTGACCACTGAGTTCTTACCATTCTTTGTTTTTTTCCAAATGCTAAGCCTTTCCAAAGCAATCTATAGATGCAATGCAATCCTCATCAAAATTCCAATGCCATTTTTCACAGAAATAGAACAACCCTAATATTTGCACGGAATCACAAAACAAACTAAATAGCCAAACAAAGCATCCTGAGAAAGAACAAAGATG